GACCTATGAACTGAGGTCAAGCAAATTGGCAATGAGTGCTACTGACCTATGAACTGAGGTCAAGCAGATTGGCAGTGAGTACCACTGACCTATGAACTGGGGTCAAGCAAATTGGCAGAGAGTACTACTGACCTATGAACTGAGGTCAAGCAAATTGGCAGAGAGTACTACTGACCTATGAACGGGTCAAGCAGATTGGCAGTGAGTACCACTGACCTATGAACTGGGGTCAAGCAAATTGGCAATGAGTACTACTGACCTATGAACTGAGGTCAAGCAGATTGGCAGTGAGTACCACTGACCTATGAACTAGGGTCAAGCAGATTGGCAGTGAGTACTACTGACCTATGAACTGGGGTCAAGCAGATTGGAAATGAGTACTACTGACCTATGAACTGGGGTCAAGCAAATTGGCAATGAGTACTACTGACCTATGAACTGGGGTCAAGCAAATTGGCAGTGAGTACCACTGACCTATAAACGGGTCAAGCAAATTGGCAGTGAGTACCACTGACCTATGAACTAGGGTCAAGCAGATTGGAAATGAGTACTACTGACCTATGAACTAGGGTCAAGCAGATTGGAAATGAGTACTACTGACCTATGAACTGGGGTCAGGCAGATTGGAAATGAGTACCGTTAAAGTCCCAATATAAACCACGGTTTATATTACAATGTATCAATTTAAAAATTGGGATCAAAAGCTCGGGGTGCGGTTTCTATTACATACATATTGCAATCACTAAATGGGCGTGGTAATTTTTTGCCCACAACACATGCACAAAACAAACAATACACCGTACAATCTCTTGAATATGCGTCAGGGAAGAGTGAAAGGCCTTACTTTGGTTCTAAAATAGGCGTTACGAAATGTTGAAAAATTACAGTCAATCAAAAAAACTGTACACATGATAAAAAAATACTCAGTATATTTAATGTAATATGCATTGATTTTTTTTAATTTTCTTGGTTACGAAAAGTATATTCTAACAGAAGTTTCAAATAAAAACAAACACGAATGCACTGTTTAGTAGCAAATGATCACGGAA